CCACGTCTCCAATGCCAGAGGCCCCCCCCCCACCCCCCCATTTCACTTTTCTGTTCATATTTGCACATTAAACCTTTGGTGGTTTTAACGAATATGGGCCATCTCTTCTAAGAAGGGCGTCTTCATGCAACCAGTGCAGAGCTGGTCCATCCAGAGGGGGGCTTCGTGCTGCAGGGGCGTTCGGCGAGGGTAAAAGGTGTATGAGAGGTCGTAGTTCAGCAGGCAGCTGATAGAGGCCATGTAGAGGTCTGAGAAACGGCACAGGCGGCGGGAAAAATAGGTGGGGTTGTGGCAGGTACGGAATATGCTGCCAAAGTGAGGGTTGAAGAGGTTCTTGGTGACTGCCCTGTAAAAGGAAATTGGAAGACATGTTACAATGACTTTAGGTCTTGATCTGTTCATCTAGTGAGTTTTTTGTCTTTTTGTCTTGCTTCACTCACCGTAGCTCCTCTCTCTCTTTCAGCCACTCCTGCAGAACCTTCTTGGACTCAGGATCCCGATGCATCTGAAAACCAAGACGTAAATAAGTCAGTTGTCTAAAGAGAGATTTTCTTCAAATCAATAGGGAAAACTTTTGGAAGATTACCTTAAGATGATACAAAAGACATCATAGACCTTTATAGTAGCCATTAAAAAAATAAAATAAATAATATAATAATATAAACACTATCGTTCAAAAGTTTTACGGTCAGTAAGATTTTTTTTTTTTGTAAGAAAATAATACTTTCATTTAGCAAGAGTGCATCAAATTGATCAAAAGTGACAGTAAAACACTTTTAATGTTACAAAAGATTTCTATTTCAAATATTCTTTTGAACTTTCTATTTATTTAAAAAAAAATCCTGAAAACAAAACTATCACGTTTTCACAAAAATAAAAAGCAGCACAACCGTTTTAAACATTAACAATAAGAAATGTTTCCTAAGCAGCCAATAAGCATATTAAAGCATACAATTGAATTGAAAATTCAACTTTACAATCACAGGAATAAATCACATTTTAAATTATATTCAAACAGAAAACAGTCTGAAATTGTAATTTTTCATAACATCACATTTTCCTGTATCTGTTTTTTTTAAATGTTTTATATCAAACAAAGGCAGCCTTGGTGAGCATCAAAAACGGATCACTTCAGAGGATACAGACTTTATAGTAACAGTGTCTTTAAATTAAAAATTGTAAGACCCAAACAATTCTATAGCATTTTGAGAGGCTTACATTTTAGTGTAGCACCATTTAAAACAATTATCACCCAAAACTTTGACAGAATATGAGGTTGTATGCATTCTGGATTATACAAACAGAAAAACCGATCACACCAAGCTTTTCTTACATAGAGAATCTAACTTTGGAAACGAACATTCAGAACAATCAATTCCGATCAATATAAAGCGAATGGACCTCTGCCAAACCTACGAGGTCATTCCTATGCATCCATATACTGCAGAATCACATGTAATGCAGATGTGTTTATTTTGCTCTTATTTGCTCTCTAGAAACTCACTTACAGCGATTCAAAAACAAAGTTTGATTAATTAAAATGCCTTTTGTTTTTACTTTAATGTGAAATTTAATAAAAAGTAGACATTTATCAGGATAAATACTTTTCTATTCTAAACAGGAAGAGTGTTGGTGGAGTTCAGAACCACAATGTGTACCTGCATGCGCTCCAGCAGTCCGGTGAGCGCCTGCAACCACGTGAGACTTTGAGCGTACTGGTCTGTGTTCACCACCTTCGTCTCCACCTCAAGTTCAGGCACGATCGCGCCTGTCCTCCACCCATGACGCAGCATCAGGTCCTAAAATGCCAGGACACAGGATGTTTAGACTATAGTCCACTTCAAGAACCTTTTTACAATCATTGTTAGTGTTTGACTCTGGAAACCGGTGATTATGAAAACGATAGAGTGAGATTTACTTCCACTGTTTCTGAAGAAGTAAAAACAAAAGGAAGAGACGTTTGCGCAACAAATGTGAACAAAACAGAAGCGTGACGATCACTCACTGCCAAGTCACTGTAGAGATGATCTCCAAAATAGAACACCTTGGATCCTCGCCATCCTGTTAGCTTCAGAAAATCCACAAGGTTTCCCTGAAACAAAGCAAAGCAATGGTAGTTTTATTAGCCAGTTGCTAATATTGCGATTGATTTCAAGGATTTGAGCTA